AAAAAAAAAGATGGATTCCATTCATCTTCAGTATCTATGGATGTTTCTTTACAACACCACGGCTGCCAAATGTGCCTTGGGTACTGCTCTTATTGTAGCCACACTTTGGGCTTTTCTGATAAAGCCACTCTTACAGCATTATTACCCATGCAGATCTGTTCCCCAATTGGAAGTGGTGGGCCATCGTATTTATACACAACGTCCTCCTCTCACTCCTACAAAGTCTTCTACTTCTAAGAAAACAACTCCAACGAAGAATACACCACGGCGAAAATCCCCATCACCGCAGCGTGGTCGTAACTCTCTCAAGGCAGAAGCTAAACATGTTATCAGTATATTGGACAGTGCAAAGAAGGGAAAAGCGGAATATCAACAAGTGGGAGGATCACCAGTAACGAGGAGATACGTTACTCCCGCCCCAAATGTAACGGATGAGGCTCTTGCAAGTTTATTTCATTCACCAGAGTTTGTGCGTTGGTACGAACTTCATCGATATGCTTTATTACAACGTGTACGGGTACGATCCGCACAGGATCTATGGATGTCTATTGCAACACTTTTGGTATTATTGTTTGGTATGTTTCTTCTTCCATTCTTTAGCTTTCGCAATGAGGATGCCACGCTGTGGGTCCTATTGCAGCAACGCTACAGCAGTAAGAGTGGAAATACCAGCCGTGTTGGGAATCATAATAATAATAATAATCATAATCATAATAATAATCATATTAATCATTCTCGTTTTAAGCCAGAGGTGCAAGATAATGCTTTCCCTGTATTCTTCCCTGAACTCTGTGTCTATGTGGAAGGATTATTATTACTGGTGGCGGTGTTAACACTTCTGACGACGGCGTTTATGCCGCCCACTGCGGCCCACACGGCCACAACGGCACTCGTGGCATTTCTCGTTCTTTTCTGTGAGGCCGCACTTGTGCAGCGGGTGGCGGTGGGTGCGGGATTTGCAGCCCTACTCGCTGTCGTGGCTTGGCGGGTGAGAAGTGTGTGTGGAATGTGTGAGTAAAAAAAAAGTAGAATGGACCCAAAGTAAAGAAGAAGAGAAGGAAGAGAAAGAAAGAGTGAGAATGGGAGTTGATGATGATGATGTTTATTATTATTATTATTATTATCATTTATGATTATGATTATTTAGAAAGCTGTATATATGTGTGTATGTTTGTATGTGCGTGTGAAGTGGGAAAGAGAGAGAAAGAGAGAGAGAGAGAAGAAAAAAAAAACGGGCATAGAGTGGAGTGATTGAAAGAGGAAGAAAAAAAAAAAGAAGGAATGAGGAATAGAAAGATAATGTAAGCATTGCAGCAAAAG